ATTGTAAGAGTATAAAAGACGATATATAAGATAGAACACCGCGTACATTTCTAATGGCATCGAAACCAAACTCGACTACTTTTTTATGTAGGAAAAGGGTGTTAAGCCAGCACACAGTCCACCTGTGGTAAGAGGTTGCTGTGGTCCATAGAAATCTACATCTATTTGTGTTTGCGAAATAAAATGCAGATGCGTTGTCATCCGTGAGGAGTAAGATGAAATGCCTCTTTTCCAGTAAAAATGACTCCAGTTCTCTACACTCACCATACGAAACACAGCAGCATGAAGCTGCTATTTTAACTGTAACTATATACTATTTATTGATTATTAAACTATACAATAATATAGCTGCAGCATGGCTCTACTACGTATAAAAACACACATATCTTTCTTCTTTCCTCTTTTACAGCCCGTAAAAATCTGGACGTCATGTTCAGCACGTGGTAGAGCCACGCTACAGCAATATTATGGTTGTAGCATAAATAGGTCGGCTTGACCAAGCTCTCACAGTAGGACAGTAGGACCACGCTCTAACAGAATACCAGCGTAAAATACCTTTTTACTGGAATCGAGACACCCCAATTCAGTTCTGAGAAGTGAGTGTGGACGTCTATGGGCCACAGCATTCACTTATCATCAGATGTACTTTGTGCTCGCATTGTCACCAATTTTTTATAAAAAATAAATGTTGTTGGTTGCAAATGATTTTAGGTGCATATGTGTGCGTGAGTGTATCTTCTTACAATTACATTGAACATGATTTTGGCTTGGGTTCAGCGTAATTTGAAATTTACACAGCGCTCCGTCGTCTTTCTTTGTTGTACTGAGTTTGCCTGGCAATATTTTTCACGTTAAAACAATAAGCTGGGATTTAATTAAAACAAACACAGATAAGACCTAACTTATAACCTTGATGTAAGTTTTAACCGCCTTATATCAATAAGACGGGTAAACAAATGTTCATAAAAACTTATCGAACGGTACACTACTTAAACAATTTATATTAATTGACTCGGTCAAATATGATAAACAGATATCAAATGTAATTGATTCATATTACGTTAATATATATTTTTAATAAATAACTTTAAATCTTAATTATATGATCATCATAATAAGTTCTAACATCATCATATATTTAACATTTATTGTAGGTTGCAGTGCTGTTTAATTTATTTACTTAATTAATTAATAATTACGCATACCGATGTGCTATGCTTCCTTTAGCGCCACTATGATTGTTTTATTTATAAATTAACAACTTTATTACACCTTAGCTTAGAATAGTTCAAAAATAAAAAATACTCCGTAAACATTTTCATTATCGTAAATTAATTTAATTCGTATTCTCAAAATGTAGATATTTGGTCGTTAATTTTAAGTATGACCTGTTTTGACGTGTTAATGATAATGTGTCAAGTTTATTAAGACCGGGAACATTTTTATAATGAATGTTTCGTAATGTAGATTTTGTATTTCAACTTTGATACTTCTAACTTGATTAAAAGTAAATTTACGATTATAGGTTAATATTAGGAGGAATGCGACGTGATTTCGTAGTCGCAAGAACTTCCAAATCTTTGGAATCATTTGTGGGATTATTTTCTGAGTGGTGCCATGATAATTTGGTTCTCTATATAACTTTGCTTATAATTGGAATGAGGTAAAATTTCTTTATTGCATACAAAACATGGCTTGAAACGCAATATGGCTGATCAGTGACCGCGACGTGGTAGCCTATGCTTTCCCACCTGAATATGACACCGGCCCTGTTATTGTTGTTCAAAGGTCCTAAAACAATATCTAATAAGTTACAAACATCGACTTTTATAATTTGCGTAATAGAACTTAAAATTGCCTAAACCTGCGTCGTCGGAACCCTCAGTCTGACGGTTCAGCTGAGCACGGTTGACCCATTAAAACGATCGATTGTTTCCTTATTGTGCTGCTTGGAACCGAAGGTTCTATTATTATTATTCTTTAATGCTATACTTTAAAAGACATTCTTGAGATTGCATTTTTAAAAATATAGATTTCTTAGCGTAAATCCTTAGCACTTGTGTTTAATAAATTCAGATTTAATTGAATACGTATTAAGTAAATGTAAGTTGTGTTACTGTTTTAATCACTATTAAATAAACGTCTAAATACTTTTTAATATTTTGCAACTGTCAGAAAAAAAATATTAATCAACTAAGTTATAGCCTCACTGAATGTAAAAGTGAAATAATTAATATATTTCATGCATACAACTATTTTTTTTAATTAATTTATATTGTATTTTTCCGTTTGAAAACTTTTTCTCTGATGATTGAAAAATCAGCCTTTACAATTATAGCTTCTGACGTATCCGAAGCTAAGTACTCGTGATTAAAATATCGGATAGCAAAAGTTAAAGTTAATTTAGAAAAAAAAATGCTTAAGTCTGGTTCTGTTTTCAACATTCAAAGAATAAATATTCAACAGCAATTGCGAGACTTTCGGAGTTTAAAATAGCTTGATCAATATCAACGTAATGAGGTGTACAGGGAGTACTGGCGCCATTAAGCGAAAGCAATGCAATAGCATAAGGAAACTATTGAATAAAACTATTTTTTACGGATTTTATCGCGTTTAATATACTATTTTAATTCCCGATGTTTCGGGTACTTTACAGCAACCCATGGTCACGGGGCAGACTGAGATTTTTGACGTCCCGATGTCACAGTTAGCCCAGCTAACTTCAGTTTTTTAATATTAATTTATGGGTCAATTTACGCAGAATGAACTGACAGTATCTTGAAGTCTTGCAGTGGTATGCTTGGGTTTGGATTTATTTTGTTAATTATAGGATCCCAAGCAGATGGCTGCACCCATCCATCTTCTCTATTGAAATTAGGATGTTTTTTTTAATTTCAATAGCCTCGCGTATCATCCTTTGTAAGAATCGATGTTCTTTTGCGAGAATTTGTGGTCCATCAAATCTGATGTAATGGCGGGGACGATCTTGAACATGTTCACAGACTGCAAACTTCCCAGAGCATAGGTGCTTCACGTCAGTTATATGTTCTTTCACGCGGGTTTTAATGGATCTTTTTGTTTGTCCTATGTAAGAGAGACAACATTCGCAATCAAGTTTGTACACTCCTGCATCTTATAGAGGGATATTACACTTGACGGATGGTAAAAATTGACTAATCTTCTTCGGTGGCTTGAAGTAAGTAGAAGCTCGCTTCAAAATGTAGCCAACCTTGTCTGTGACTCCTCTGACATAGGGTAATACAGAAGGCACACGCTTGACTGTGGTCGGCTTCACTCGGTCACATATTATCAATCAATTTTACCGAAACTTTTATAACGTGTTACAATCATCTGTTACTTTATAAAGAGTCGCTTCTTATTTTATAATCTTTAAATCAGCTATTTCATATAATAACAGTGAACATGAACTTGGCTGGCTTCAAGCAACTGCTTTGTGGCTATGCTAATAGCCGTCGTACTTTTGATTTACTGTAAATAAAATAATTGTTCCATTAAACGAAATAAAATCCCTAAAATTACTTTTATTCTTGTTTAATATTTGCATAAATATAAGGTAAGTCTTAGGGTAAGGAGTCCGCCATGGACAAGGCTACTGTTAATCATCAGAATTTTAAATAAGTCAAAATGAAAACGATACATCAGTATTATTCGTTTTATTAAATCTAAAAAACCAAATTACAAATAATTTACGTGGTAGAGTCATGCTGCAGCTATATTAGTAGCATAGTTGAAGCACGAATGAGTCGGCTCGACCGGTGAAGGACCACGCACTGTAAAAGAGCAGCTTAATGCTGCTGTGTTTCGTATGAAGAGTGTAAAGAACCAGAGACCCTTTTTACTGGAAACAAGGCATTCCACCTGAGTCCTCACAGGATACAATTTATATTTATTTTAATTCGTAATCGAGGATAAATCGAGTAGATGTCTATTGGCTACAGTAATCACTTACAAGTCGCGGCACGGAAGTCTAGGGCTGAACTAAACGTGGAGGAGACGCGCACAAATTAAATTGCACGAATGCGACTGGAGAGCCAATCAGCGCGTGCGAATGATATGCACGAGGTAATCATGCGTAATCTTATCAGCGCGACTTACGCGCAATAACGATCACCGCTAGACTTTCGTGCCGCTACTTATAACATTAAGTTGACAAGGTACTCGTCTGCTGTCGGTCTACTGTCCTATAAAAAATCAACATTTATTTAAATTTTATTCACTACAATGCTTACTAATGAATCATCGATTCACAGCCTTCAATTATATTATCGTACATAATCTAATAATCAGTTACCGTTACATTATGTTGAATCGTTTATATAAATAATCAAGTAAATTTTGATAAGGCTTTGTTGAATTATATAACAGCTTAAATAATTTATCTAAGATTTTTTAACGTAATTAATTTTTATATCGATTAGAATTGTATAATATTACTATATGTAATTATCGTTATACAATAACTTGTATATATATTATATACAAGTCCACTGAATATAGATCTCCTAGTGCTAATACAAAGCACGGTCCCGAAACACCTACATCCATCGACTCCCTGCATCTTTCATTAGGTCGTCACCTTATCTAGTATACCACTAATCCAGTAATTTGTAAAATATTATCTAAAATTATTAAAATACTTTTTAACTGTTATTTTTTTGTAGGACCATTCAAAAACAAAAAAAATATTCAGTTATATTACACCAAAGACCCGAATAAGTGTGTTTAAGGGTAACATATTACTTTATAATTTCCGACAACTCTCTTAACTGTGTCAATTATTTTCCATAAGATATAGGCAAAAAGGGAATATTGAGGCAATCAACTTATGACAAAACATTATTTACGACAAAGTTTTTTGTTGTATAAAATTTAACTGATGTCATATTAAAAAGTGCAAATGCGTGTATTAGACGCTTTATGTGGTAATTTTAAATAAAAGAAGTTAATGTGTAATTTTATCATCGCTTACTTTGTTATAGGTGGTGATCTGCGGTGCGGTGCCATCGATGGTCCGGTCGGTACGTCTCTACAGCCAGTGCTCGCATATGTACGTCAACGTGTTCCGCAACGGCACCGTCATGGCCCGCTCCGATGGAAACGACCATCGTAAGTGCTATAAACGTCCTCACTTACTGAATTTATTTGCGGTCGCGTCCTTGCTTTACTTTTCGTTTTTGTTTAGTTACTAAACATACTCTTTCCTCGATGTATATCTACACTATAAAATTTACCCGGGAATTCAATTGCAGCTAGAACAAATGTTTGTAGCTACTAAAAAGTTAATTGTTGATTTTTGGGTTAAGATGTGTTGTGATCGTCCTCATAGGTCTGAAACTACATCCAAGCCAAGTAATACTATTACCTAAAGTTACATCAAATACAAGTATTACACTTGATAACTCCATTGTTATTTGAATTTGTCCTCGATGTTAAAACCATCATCAATGCCAAAATGTATAACATTTTCATCGAATTAATTGTTACTTTTTGGAACGAAGTTCTTTATCGGACGGTACAAATTTGTCGGATGGGGACTAGGCGAGAAAGTATAAGATTTTTCCGTCACGACCCCTTCTGACGTAGTGTACAAGGCCTTGGCGAGATTTAATAATATCCCTCTTCCTCGCACTTTTTCTTATCTTGCCATGTTATTTTATTTTAAATGACGCTTCATTTTAATAGACGCTAGTAAATCATTTATTTGTATTTTTAGGATAATTAATATAATCAGGCGTTACTTTGCGGAAGTCCATTATATTAAATTTGCCAAACAATTACTTTGCGTACAACCGCTAGATAAAATAAAATGATGTGTCTTACCTAGTTTGAAGAGCACCTTCCGCCCTCCCTCAATCGCGTGCACTATCCCCGTCACCACTAATCCCGGCACCACTACTCCCAACACCACTACACTAAGGTAAGACACACCACTGACGACAATACGACACATGTTTCGCCTCTACACGAGGCATCCTCAGGTGATATAGACTCTACGGTGGCCTAGCCTAGCCAACGACCACTCCTTTAAAGTCTTACATGTCTTATATGTGTAATAAAGGGCTGCGACTGTGTGTGCTGGAACAGTTAGAGATATTAAAAAGTAATAACAGTAACGTTGCACTGCTGAATGAACAAATAAATGTTTCTAACTCACCTCTCCTAAATATCTTTAAGCCTGCTCTCTAAGAGCAGACAGCCTCGCAATATGATCGTTTGTCACCCTCACCTGTGATCGGTGATTGGTTGCGTGATTGGAGGGTAGGCGGGCGTTGCGCGGCGGTTTGTTTTTAATTTTACAAACGGCTGCGTAAGTCTGGCGGTGATTGGTCGCATGTTTTATCGCATAACGCAGTCGCTCGCTCCTTAAGCAGGGAGCGATTGCGTCAGCGGTCTGTATAAAAGGCAGTTGTTTTGGCTCGCCGCTCACTTAGCGGTTAGCCACCGTAGAGTCTATATCACCTGAGGATGCCTCGTGTAGAGGCGAAACATGTGTCGTATTGTCGTCAGTGGTGTGTCTTACCTAGTATAGTGGTGTTGGGAGTAGTGGTGCCGGGGTTAGTGGTGACGGAGATAGTGCACGTAATTGAGGGAGGGCGGGAGGTGCTCTTCAAACTAGGTAAGACACATCATTTTATTTTATCTAGCGGATGTACGCAAAGTAATTGTTTGGCAAATGTAATTTTGTATTTTTTAATCAATAATATAATAAGCTTATCAATATTAATATACTACGAAAGAAACTTCGTTCCAACCGAGTCTTCCACTACATTCACGCATTTTTTTTTTACAGTAATTACATCGTGTAAGACGCATCTGCAAAACAGTATAAAGTCAATACATAATGAAAATTAAAAATATTACATATTATGATTTGAAAAAAAAAATATAAAAGTGAACGCTTGTTAGTTAGATTAGAGGTAATAGTATAAAAAACAAATCTAATTATATAAAGTGCGTGCCTATAAGCATCCATTTACACAAACGCAGTAGTAGAGGGGTACCGGGCTTACTACGAGTATAATCATGTTGGCGGGTAGGGTCAGACGTGAGGAACTATAGGAATATGTCAATACTCGAAGGGTCAACGGCCAGTCACTGCAACAGGTAAAGTCCGCCGTGCAATATAGTAACGGGGAATGCAATGGTCAACACGCGGGAATAAATAGGTTTAAATTCCTGAGTGACTGTATTGCTAAAATATACAAAAAAGTGTTGCCATCAAAAAAGAATTCCAATTCATTTCATCATCAAGAACCCTTGATCCTTTATTATTTCTGCTATCCGTGCTTGAAATAATTGGCATAAAATTAAATATAATGTTCGGATTTCACACTATGTGCTCGGACACTATAAGGTTTGCGTTAAAATACTTTTAGTTCATTTTTAGATCTAATTCTTTAAACAGATGTGAATGTAAATCCTGTAAATTTATATTTGAGCATTTTTTTTTGTAAATTGTATAGTTTAATCGAAATTTACAATTTTATTCTGTACTCTTAACCGTTTTACACCAAAACCATTTCATATAATACATCGTGAAAATGTCAAGAATTTAATAATTGTTTTATATTCAAATAATTCATAAAAATTTGAGAAATCCGCGGCTATGTAATACACTAATGTCAAATTATACAATACTTGCTGTAAAATCACGCAACTTTTTGTAATCACTTGTTCAAATAAAAAGGACTTTCACCTTTCGATATTTCGTGACTGCGAAGACGTTTTAACGTTTGCTTATAGATTATGGCAAAACGTTGTATGACTTGCGTTCAAAATGAATTTTTATCGTAGTTGCTATTTATTACGGCTTTAACAAAATACCAATTTGCTGACGTTTTGGTCGATGTTCTTAACCGACTTTAAAAAGGAGGAGATTCTCAATTCGACTGGCTTTTTAGTATTTTTTTTATTAAATAGATTATTTCATAGTTCTTCTGGGGCTTTTATTCTCCTATGCACGATGTCTAAGCAAAGACCTAAAACTGTGAAATTATTTTATTTTTTAGTTCTTAGGTTTTACCTTTTACTTTAAAGTTAATTTTATTCATCGTTGTAAGGAGGAATGGTTTTTATCGCCACGCTTGGCGATCGCAGATCCAGACGTCTCGCACTTTTGACGGTGCTACCCCGTCACTGGTCTTGTGGAATTTTACGTCTAGTACAAATGTGATGGTTACATTGCAATTTGTCAAAAGCCGTCACATTACTTCATTTCGCATCATAAGATTGATATATTTTCTTTCGTTGCTATCACTATACATGTCTCCACCACTCAGCAAACATTCCTTGTATGAGTAGTAGGTAATTAAGTTACAAAACTGCCAGTGCTGCGGCAGAGAGAATCCACTGCGCCAGAAGTGTAGTGAAAAAAATCAAATTGATATTCGGACCTAAATTGAACTCGACCCAGACCCTATTTTTTTTTCTAAATTGTAAATAGTAAATAGCAATTTTGTACTACGATATTTTCTTCTATCTCTCCTAATTAAAAGTAGAAATAAAAAAATACATTGGCTCTATACTGACTTAAAAAGTCTTTACCACGTTACTAATATTATGATACTTGGCATTTTTCATTGTCGGCATTTATTAAACAAATTTTGACTAACTAATTAAGTAATAATTGTTTTGATAAACTTGTAAATCAATTTGCAAATAATATTAACTTAATTGACACTAAGATTAAAAGTAATATCGTAGTAAATCATGTATAATTATCGAAAATACATTTAATTAAGTGTAAAGAACATACAGTAAGTACATCAAAATGCCGCGTCAGATCGTGGAGTTCGCATTACAAGTGCAACTGACCCAATAAAGTTTACAATCAATCAGCACTTGGCCACGTTAATATCTTTAGTAGTAACATGATTTATTTGTCACCATTATAACATCAAACATTTCATAACATACCAACCAAACGTGCCGTCGAGTAGCAAGTCTGCTATCAACATGAAGATGTTATATAAAATTTCTCCACGACATTACTGTTTCATTTGCATATTAACCCCGCGATATACTATAAACTATTTATTTTATTTATTTTGATTTTAATCGTGTGATCAAAACCTGAATATCAAGTGCTACAACAAGATATTCCAGGTTCGAATCCCAGATTTAACCAACATTTTTAAAAGTTTGTTATTGTCCTATAATCTTGAACACTGCATCTTAAACTTCCTCCTATCTTAGTGTGCAAACATTTTAGCGGCCAAGGGTAGGCAAGGTTCTTTGAGCTGTATGACCAACTCTCTGTTACTCTGGTACTCCAAGGTAAAACTTTAAGTCGCACGTACACTTGCGGCAATAGATAAATATCTCTTGCACACTTACTTCTGATTATCCGTAGGTTTTCATCCTGACTGAGCAAATGAGCCACGATAATTATAACATCATCATCGTCGTGATTCATTTTTCATGATTCATCATCATATTTACCAAGTTTGATGATCAAAGCGATGTTAGCCTAATATTTAAACGTTAAAAAGGTAATTTAAAGAAACATACATATACTAAAATAAATTGGTATTTGTAATAACTTTCAGTATACAGTATTTTCTTATGCCCTTATGTCTAAAAGTGAGAAAAAAAGTAAAGAAAAAGAAAGAAATGTTGTTTTAAATAAAAACCGTGAAATACTTAATATTTGAAAGATATACTATGTTAGACACGTGTTCCATAGTCATTTATTTCAAATAATTACTAATACGTGAATAAACAAATTAATTCGATTAAGTGTTTGATTAAACAATACGTATAATAATCGCGTGAGAATTTGAATGGCTATGATGCGAGAAAAAAATTGATCACTTGACCCGCGTAAGTGTTAGTGAGGCAATAAAAGAAACTACGACCAATATTAAATTTAACGATTTAATATTGCATCACCGGTGTTAATTGATCTCGAAGTATAGATTACTGTAAAACATTACGATGAACACTAGCAGTTCTTGTTAACTTGGACGATATTATCCAGCGTACACATTGCGCCGCCTACTGCCGAATATCGCGTAAAATATGTGACTCTTTTTAATTAAAATTAGATATGAGCATACTGATAAAGAATATTAATAACTCGTATAGAGTTAGATAGAAATATTACT